ACAATAAAGATTGTTACAAAGTGTCTATATACTTCTTTCTTTCTTTTGACACTCTGTAACAATCTTTATTGTCTGATGACGGCAAGAGAACTTGTCGAAATATCACAATAAAATAAATTTGATGAAAGTATTAATCATGTTCTGTGCAGTTTTGTACTTTCTCTACAATTTAATTCGATTTTCATGATGAAAATTTGAAATTATTAAGTTACTTGCAAAAAATCAGCTAATTTGGACATTAAATACATGATTCGACGCAGTTTTATCTCCTCTTTCGAATGAGATATAGTTTAAAATTAATGTCCTTGATTTCATGTCAAAATTTCAAAAATACGGGGGATAATACTATTGAGGAAAATTTCAAAGGTCTTTGTTCAAAAACTCTATAAGATCCATTGTACGTAAGAGATACGTAGTACTTAAGAGGCTTATTCAGAACTCATCTAAGCTTTTCGTCCCCCATAGTTTTTCCGATAGTCCAGGACATACTGTTTCAAAGGGTCTTTTCCGCTTAAAAAAATATTGCTCCATTCAAAAGTTACAAGATCTGAAACATTTTATTTAAATATGATTTTATTAGTAGAGTCGCAATAACGTTTTGAACAGAATATCGGATAGATGTTAGATTTTCATCATCGGTAGACCGTTGGTCATTGTATATGTACAAACAATAGTACGGACAAATATACCAATTGCATATTTAAAAATGAGTCATCTATTACAAATACAAGAGGGAAAATGTCAGTTTTCAAACTCGATTTATAACAGAATTCACAAAAGTTATTTATTACAAGCCATCATTTTATGGCATCCTGGAATGGCAAAATTTTTGCATGATTCAAAAAGCACATGAAATTTTTTAGATAAGACATTTGCTTTGATCTCTGTCGCTAAAAAGACCTTGTATAGAGTAAACGTATTTACCACTAATTCATCGAAACGTTGGTGCACAAACTTCCTCTGTGAAAAGTTCATAAAGAATTTTGCAAACCGATCTACTTTTTCTGTAAGGAGATGAAGCCGATCTATATTTTACTAGAACCGCCATTAAACGAGCTTCAAAAGAACATATCGCTTTTGTGCAATTCCTCCTATATCTCCGAAAGAAAGAGGAGTTAAAGTACATACTGAAAAACCGCTGATTTTCGCCATTTTTTTAACCTTCTCTCCTAGTGGTCACATCGACTTAGACTATTCAACAACTTTTGAGGAGTTTCACCATTTTAGTCCCATGAGTGGTTGTCCTGACAACTTTTTATTCTATTTTGCTTTATTACTGAGAAAATTCATTTTTTCTAAATTAAAAGAATAAAAGTCGAAATTCTGCCGGTAATTCTCAATTTTCTTCATCAAGGCTCAACTTCTAAGCAATAAAAGTATCATATTCGAAATCAGCGTAAAAGATCGAATCAAACGATATATATTTCGAAAATTATTGTTGATTTCCATTATTTGGTGAAAATCTCAATAAAGGATAAAAAGAGGCACATAATTCGACTAGTCTTTTTACACTGATTTTTAATATGATACTTTTATTGCTTAGAAGGTGAGCCTTGATGAAGAAAATTGAGACCTATCTAGTTTTTCTGTAAAGCGATGAAGCCGACCTTTTTATTTAATTAGAACCGCCATTAAATGAGCTTCAAAAGTATAGATCGTTTTTTTTTCTATTCTGGTTTATTACTGAGAAACTTCATTTTTCTAAAATAAAATCGCAAAAATCGAAATTCTGTCGCTAAATTCTCAAAATTGTTTATGAACATTTTATAGAGGAAGTCCAAGACGTCCATACTGGCTTCAGCCTCGATCAAACACTATTCTCATACTCAGGTTTTTTACTACTGAATCAGGATAAAAACACTCGAAAAGTTGGGGGGACGCAAATGATGAAAAATTTTAGAAATTTTTTGAATCTAAGCCGTTTTTACAAATTTCACATCCTTCGAGTTTTTTCAATTTTTCTCACTTCAAACTTTGTCTAAAAAAGTTAAAAATCACATATTCGTGATCAGATCATCGAAGTTTCTACAATCATATATAAATAAACGAAATGCTAAATCTGCTCGAATTTTACATCTCCGGCACCTGTCATACGTTTGGTTTTGCAGGATTTTTCTGAAAAATGAACTTCTGCATTTTTACAGAAACGTTCACCAAAACTTTTCATCGTCGTTTCGGATTTATCACCGAAAAAGCCGATCTGAATTGGTCAATTTCAGATAATTTAAAATTTAAAAGTTTTGCATTTCCAGGTTTTTAGTGCTGTGAGAAATTGTTGGCTCTTTGAGAACATATGAGAGAAACTCATCAAAACATTGTCGTCTAACCGCATGAATAAAAAATCTATGTGTCAACAATTCCAGGCTTTTACGAGCTTTTTATATCGGAGGCAATGAACGTTTTATCTGAAAATATCACTTTTCTTTCACAACTTCTAAGCCAATCTCACTTGTGATTCCTCTGTAACTCTTGAACACACTGTGCAATGCCAAAGTCTAATATTTTAATCGTAACCTGGTCGTGATACCTGCTATCTATGATAAAACTATGAGCTAATCTGTTGTCAACTCCATAACCACAACATCTATGTGGCTCTTTTGAAACATAATGCTACCATGGTAACCTTTTCGGTCAAACAAATATATCATCTCTTTCTTTATTCTTGTTACTTAAGGTGATGGTGTAAATGATGCACCAGCACTTAAAAAAGCAAATGTTGGCGTTGCTGTGGCTGAAGCATCGGATGCTGCAAGATCTGCAGCTGATATTGTATTAACTGAACCAGGTTTAAGTGTTATTATTGAAGCTTTACTTGCTTCACGGCAAATATTTCAGCGTATGAGAAATTATGCAATTTATACATGTTCCGTTACAATACGTGTAGTTGTTGGATTCGCTATACTTATATTTGCATTTAAATTTGATTTTCCACCATTCATGGTAAGATATGCACGTATTCTACGAACAACAGAAGAAAGAAAATGTGCTATCGCTTTCACAATTCACTGCACTCTCTCATTTTTTTAATTAATTTTGAACGAAATTTGTTCAAATTCGCTCAATTCTCTGCAAGGTAGAATATAAGCAGTCAATTTTCTACGATACTGAACCACCGCGTTATGGGCTTTCTAACATCACTGGCCTTACAGAATCGAAAATTTCAAGTTGTAATTCTAAATTTTTAGTCCATTGCATATTTTCTCCTCTGCCACTCTTTACCCAAACGTTGAAGAAATTCGACTGCTGACATCTCATCTTGTAGAGCATTGAACGAGCTGTTTAATGATATGCTTCAAAAGATATGTGAATGAGATTTGCAGTCGTTGGGTCTATCAGAAAACTACTGAGTTTTTCATGAATCTTTCTTTATTGAAACACATAGAGTTTGATGCGCTCTTGCAATTGTGATCGAGCTCGAGCTTCTGCGTTAGGAAATCCGGTCAGTAGACATTGAAGAAATTAGGCCAAATTCGCCGAAAAATGACAAAAAATACGCTTTTGTGTCTATAGAAGAATAACTTTTTCCAACAAGGTTAGAGACTTATGGTTTTTGCCATTCGATTCAGTTTGTCAAGTTCTACAAAATGAGGTCGGTCTCATCACTTCCGTAAATGGTCGATGTAATGGTCGTAGTTGACCTACTAGTAGATTCTGTACTTACGTTAATGTGATTTGAAAAGGAGCAAAAAAATTATGGATTCAAGTTCTTTGAAAAACACGGTGTTTTTCGACTCTTCAGCTACGTAAAGTACAATCTCTACCTCCCTTTCGTTTTCAAGGTAACTTTAAAAAAAAAGCGTTTACTACGTTGTCGATCTGTTCTCTCCTAGGTTCTTATCTTGGCTATTTTAAACGATGGTACAATAATGACAATATCAAAAGATCGTGTAAAACCATCACCGTATCCAAATGAATGGAATTTATTTGAAATATTTTTCTCTGCTATTGTTTATGGTCTATATTTAACTGCATCAACAGTTGCTTTCTTTGCGATCATTGTTAAAACAAATTTTTTTCAAGATAAATTTGGTGTACAACATTTTGAAAATCTACCAAATGGTGGTGGTTATAATGATCGAATACTTCACTCAATTATTTACTTACAAGTATCAACAATTAGTCAAGCACTGATATTTATAACACGTTCACGTGGACTATTTTTTACAGAACGACCATCGCTAATTTTAGTTGCAGCTTTTATGATTGCACAACTAGTAGCAACATTCATTAGTGTTTATGCTAATTGGGGTTTTACGGAAATTAGAGGATGTGGATGGCATTGGGCAGGTATAGTTCGAGGGAATGTTGCGAGAAATATTTTCGACAGCAAAAATAGGTTTTTATAGAATTTTCGTCAAATTCTGAATAAAATGATTTATTTCGTTTTTCAAAATATTAATTTTGACTTCGTACATCTTTTGGTGCAGTTTTTCATGTTGATTCCGAATCTCAGCTCTTTTTATTTGAAAGCTAAGTTTGAGCCCCGAAAGCTCGAAAAAACTTGAAAGACTCGCCCGGATGGCTGCTGTATTTTTAAATTTTTGCCCATGTTGCCGAGGTTATGAAACAAAGTTTTATAGCTGAATTTAGAAACCTATCAGACATTAGTCGCCCTTTTCGAACGTCTTATTAAAAACCCTGTTGATAGGCCAAAATAAATTGAAAAATGATCGAAAATCCCCTATTATAGTCAATTCCAAAAGAGAACCGTGAGAAATTTTAACAGTATATCCAATTTTGCTCTGTCGAATGAGAGTTAAAAAAAGGCCGGAAAAGTGATGGTCCGATGGAAAAATGACACCTGGCTTTCTAGAAAACCAACAAAGTCCAAAACTTTGTTCTAAGCACAAAGGTAAATAGAGTTTACAATTCTGAAGCTGCTGAACAAAATGGGATGTTAGCAACCTTTGTGCGACTTTTCCACCCAGAGTTATAGTTATCTCAAGTTTATAGGCAGAGCGTTCCTTCATACATCAGGTAAAAAACAGATCTATATTGCAGATAGTGTAACTCTTCAATAGAATGTCGTACAAAGCTCGTTAACATCTGATTTTCTTCAGAATTGTAAGCTATATCCGATTATGTGTTTAAAGCAAATTTTTAATTTTTTTGGATTTGTCTACAAAACCATGCCTTTCATTTCGATCTGACACATATCTTTTTGGTTCTATTATTGTGCTCCTTCAATTGAGCATAAAAATTGGTTATATTGATATAATTTGCCGTAACCAGCAGAAAAGAACTCTTGAGTGCGATTTTTCATGGAACCCTTTAAATTTGCTTTTGAAACTTTTTGATGTACAGGTATTGTTTGGATTTGGAATATTATATGGTTTTTTCCATTGGATGCTGTTAAATTTGGTATCCAAGCATATTTCGATCCAATACGAAAGCGTGCTATAGAAGAAGTTATGGATCGGACACCATCAACCAAAGATCAAGTAGAAAGACGTAAAAGTACACTTGGCGGTAGTGCAACACCATCAGTTCTACCTTCAAGACGACGTTCAACAATGGTTGGTACTGATAAAGAAAAGAGACGTGATACGTTGGCTACAGCTGCTAGTTATTATGCACCACATACACGTTCATTCTCGGTAGCACATAAACATCGAAATTTTGCACGAATATTAAATATGGATGGAGAAGCAGCAAATCCAGTACATGCTGATAAAGATGGACTTAGACGATTTTCTATTGTACAGGTACATATTTTCGAGCGTTGCATGCGGTTCGGCTCCACAATAACAGCCTATCTTAACCGATTGCTACGCACAGGGAGAATCTATAATTCTAATTCTGTCGTAAAATTTAGTATACGGATGTAAGATTCGGAAGGAACTGGACCATTCGATTCATTTTCAATTGAATGAAGCGAATTGAATCGAAAGAATCGATGAAATGAAATGACTTGAACTGAATCCAATCGAATTGAAATATCCAATATATACATATATATATATATATGTAGTATTAAAGTTCGCATGTTTATCGAAGTTATAACTTCAGTAAACATGCTTACTTCAATACGACATATACATTAAAAGAAACACCAGTGGTATTCTTCCAGTATACTTTTCGGTTATTAATTAGAGTTTTTAAGTGACCGATCATTGCAGATGATCTTATAATTCATATTTCTTGCGTCGGACATTCTTCTCGAAATGAATAGCAAATAACTATCCCAGCTGCTTTTTAAAACCGAAATTGCTCCAACACTCTCTGTATCCTCCCAGGCGAATAAAAAGTATCGAGTATTGAACAATGCTATCTAGATAACCCAACGCACTACCCAATATACCTAGATACAAGTAAAAAAAAAGTATTGAGTATGGCCCAATCCTGACTAGGTAATCCCAATACAGTAGTCAATATATCTAGATAACCCAATACCATACCCAATATATCTAGCATGATATTGAGCAATCCTACTATGAAGTTATTGGGCATGGTATCTAGTGCATTGGTCTGTTACATCCTAATATATCGACCTATGCATCTCCCAAACGAATAAAATGTATTGAGTATGGGGCAATCCTATCTAGGTAATCCTAATACCTAGATAACCCAATACCATACCCAGTATATCTGGCTTGCTCAGTATATTACTCGATATATCGACAGTCGGATTATTCATCTTTTTGTTTTGCAGCCACACCACCTATATATGAGCGAATCGTAACTTTTTTGTACAATTATCTTTTTCATTTAGGTTCCTAATAACTCTGCTTCGGCTGATTGGATTTTCAAAATTTTTTTTTATTTAGCTCGTAGCTTTGTCACCCATCG